AACAGAGACAGTCGAACCGAACGGTTCGGACGGTTTTCATAAACCGTTCCATCCCTACCCCATATACCTGTCTATGTCTCTGAAAGGGGGGGTCGTTAAAGGGAACTGTTGGCCTGGCTGAAAAGAGGGGGGTCTTATGACCCTCTGTATAGGGGAGGGGGTTGCGATGACAGTGGGAAGGAATCAACTCAACTGCTGCTTTGTAAGTTTTGAAAGCAGAAATCTGTTTAAGGTTGGTTTCTTTCTTAACATAGAAGGCTTCCTTCACGCCACTCTTAATCCACCTGTCTTCTAGTCCAAAATGTGAACATTCTGGTCCTCAAAAGAATGTCCTTTGTCCATAAGGTGTAGATGTACCTCAGATTCTCAACCGAAGGAGGTTCGCTCTTGGGGCAAGCATCTGTGCCCCATTCCAAAGGGCAGACCCCTTCGCTGCTTCAATTTGCATGTTTTCTAAACAAATATAAGGCCTCGTCGGGCTACTGTATATAGCCTCAAACTCAACGCTATTCCTGCCATTTTGAATCGAAAAAGCTTCCTGGATGGGAAGCAAAACGTCTTCAAACTTGGAAATAAAGTCCAGTGGATTTTTTTTTAAATGACTATGACCTGGATGACTGTGTATCTTTACCAGAATACTCACATGAATGTTGAGTTCCACGTTCTTCCACTGGCAGAACCGAGTAAACTTGTCACTGAGGACAGAAGAGAAAGAGGGTCACATGTGACTCCAGAAACAGAAACATGCAAGCCGTTTCCCTTTATTCACCTTTCAATGAACTTCTGGAAGATATTCCCTCTCAGGCTGTCGCAGATCTCCACGATGTACGGCTGCAGAAGGCGACACAGAGAGATCAGCTTCAATAAGTTTCATCGTAAAAACTGGGATTTCATCCAACATTTGATCAGCTACCGTAAACAGGCTGCGATCGCTCAGTCGCAGCTGGATGTAGCATCTAACTATTGAGTAATAATGCAGGTGGACGACGTTTTAGGGCTAAAGTTAGCCACAGGGGATAAAAGAGTAAACAGAGCAACAAACAGACTGGGAGCTAAAAAAAGGAAAATAGTGATTCAATTTACCAACGCACTCCTGCAAGATCATTCATCAAGTAAAGCTCAAAAACTAAGCCAAAGGTTTTTTATATCACTGAATTCATGTAAAAATATAAAACAGGACATTTAGTTTGTTCTAATATAATAAATTCAGAGCAGAGAGGATCTCATGATGGCAGAAAAATGAGAAACAACCTCAGGAGTTTCCATGATAAAGAACAATTTGTTTCCTAAAGCTGATGAAATGGACACCAGCGTCTGACTGACTGCAAATCTTCATCTGGGCAGGTTGGTAAGCTGTTAAAATAGGAACATTTTATAGACTGGAACAACCGAGGGGAGATGTTATCTTTATTTTAGGTGCAAAAATCTGTTGACGGCACTTGAACTTGTTGACATAGAAAATCTGATTTGCAGCTCAGGCCCGTGACCTTCACAGCTGCTCCGCCATCAGGCGAATAAAGACAAGGCTTCTAATTTAGGAAACAGGGCTAAAGAGAGCTAAATGAGAAGCATATAAGAAGAACTCCAGGAGTCATGTGCCTGTATGTGTCCAGGTCTCACTGCAGAAACACTGCAGTGAGTTTGTGTTTATAAAGCTCTGCTAAAGGAAACTTCCTGAACACTTTGATGCCAATCAAATCCTCGTTTTCTCCTAGTTTACTATAAAACCAGCTCTGAGCAGAGCTCCACCAACAGCTGCGAGCTTTATGGGTGCAGTTATTGATCTATTAATCTATTGATTAATCTGGAAAAACAGTTGGATCAGAATTTAACCGGTGCTGCTTTAACAGAATATCACCAGGGATCCAAATCAAGCATATAGAAGCTACTTTTACAATTTAAAATGGAAAAATGTTCGTTTTTTTCTCAGCAGGGTTTTACTTGAATTTAACCCTTAAAATAGCAAATTACTTGACAATAATTTCATTAATTGATTAATAATGTTAATGGTTTCAGGTCCATTTTTTTCTTTAGTATAAAAATGTGTTGTATATATTTGTTGTTAAAGGAAAAGTCCGGTCATATTCAGAATTCAAACTTCTGAAAGTACTTTAAATATGAAATTATTACATACTGTTCAATAAATGATAAGTGTTTTTAATTAAGAGTAATTTTCATTTGAATGTGTTTTACTGGAGGCATCCATGTTTGTCAAAGAACACTACTGCCACCTACTGGTTAGTGACGTCACGGTGCGGTATCGGCTGTTGATCAAGTCCCAGTGCTGTATCTGGTGTTTGTCACAATGCGCTATTATCCAAGTCATCTTGAAAATATTCTTCTTCCAAATGTTGGCTACATATTACGGGTTTTTTCTCTGGTCAGAAGTTTGATGGTAAATCCTCCCTCTTCAAGTTGGCAATCCAACGACAAACCCGTCCGTGGAGGATCAGGAATCAGAAAGGTGAAATAATTAATATTCTTTTTCAATTTTTCCCGATGTATTCCAACATCCGGCTGCCATGCACGTGGGCATTGTCAGTTTCACTATAGCTCTGGTGAATTTCAATGGTGAAGTCCTCTGGAAATCTTCAATAATTGTTGTTGATTGCAGATGTGTCTAGTAGTTCCCATTGATTTAGCTTGTAAAGCGGGGAGAATGGCGCTAGGCTTACCGCACCGTGACGTCACTGCTGGAAGATGTCAGGAGTGAAGTGTTACTATAGTTGGCCATTAAATCACCCCAACATGTTAGTTTTTAATAAATAATGATCTATTGGTTATTCCTTGCTGACCGGACTTTTCCTTTAATAAAAAACTTTAATCTTTTCACAGCCTTTACTGCTGCTTTTTTTATTTTCTTTAAATGTAGTTCATTATATTTTTAATAAAGTCCTGTTAAAATCCTCTATCTGGTTTAAAAGGTGCTGCTTTGACTTAGTGGGGCTATGCTTTGTTAGCCTGGGTGCCATTCCGAACTTAGTCCCGCCCACAAAGTTTGAGGTCGGGGAAGTTCGGTCTGGCTCTGCTCCATAGTAGCGCGAGTATTATCGCCCACTGTCAGGCGATCCAATCAAATTGTCAGGGCGGGCTTTATACGATGATGGACAGATGACCAACAGTAACGTAATCAACCACGTGACCAATGCACGCTTGGGTGACAACAACAATGGCTGCCGCTGGAGAGTTGAGGTAAGTAGATTCTGCTATTAGGTCTGTTCTAGAAGATATCAACAGCAAATTAATTTTAAAAGAGGAACAGAGAAACGCGATCAAGTCTCATCTTCTTATTCTAGGCGTGCAACTGCACGCTTTGATTTTTGTGGACAACAACTATGCCTCGCTTAACATACGTCACGCACTCCGTTGCTCTTATTGGTTGTAGGTCTATCCAATTGAGTGCAGAGGCATTTTTTTTCCTGGTTCGTTCGAAACACGCCCCATAATCACAGCTCTATGGAGCAGAATCAGACTCATATTCTGACTAGAATTGAGTCGGACTATGTCAGGCTAATGCTTTGTAGCTGCGCCAGTTGTTTTTTGTTTTTCAACAACTTTTCATAATCTTTCCCAGCCAATCCTGGGAAATTGTTGCAATTTGTGGCGAGCTGAGACTGAAATGAAATAATCTGCAGAGATTGGGATCTGCTCAACCTGCAGTGGATTGACTCTATAAGCAGTCAGGGTGACATGGAAAGAAACGGATCATGGAGTAAAAAGTCAAACACCTTTAACGCCCAGGTCGCAGCATTCTGCTGGTGTCCACAAGCAAAAAGTTAGAAACCACACGTCACACCTGGAGTGGGGAGAAGGGCGCTAGGCTTACCACACTGTGACCTCACTGCTCGTTACTATATTTGGGCAAAAATGGCTGCTCCCAGACTCAGTGATTATTGTGCATTTTTGTACTTATCAAAGCTAAATTCATTAAATCATTGCGCACGTATTAGTTTTAGGTATAAATAATGATCCATTGATCACTTCTTGCTGACCGGACTTTTCCTTTAAGAATCGGCGGGAGCCCTGTTATAAACTGTCCGATGCGAGTTGTTGCAGAAGCACAGAGACGTTTGTAGGAAGTTTGTTTTACCTGGAAAAGAGTCGGTGGGACCTGTTTCTTTGCCAGATGACTCTGCACATGGTCCACCGCCTTCTTGGAAAATGGCTGCAAATAAAGCAAAGAGTCATTAAAGATGCAGCCTGAGCAGCAGTTTCACTTCTGCTTCCTCTGTGCAGAGACTGTGTCCCCCGGGTTCGTCTGCTGCTCAAACAGAGGCAGCGGGAGGTTTTCTTCAGTTCAATTAACTTTATTCATATATATATATATATATATATATATATTTATTTAAATGATCAATTAGGAAGAGAACAGGAGGCAATAGATATGTTTATGTTTCTATTTTAAATATTAACAGCAGAGACACCCCCCCCCCTCTAAAAAACAGGACACTTTCATCATAACTAATATAAAATGGGACAGCAGTAAAATAAATGAGAACAATTTGTACAATTTAAGGCCCATAAGGACACCAGCAAAAAGAAAAAGTACAGAACATGTGGCCACGGCCACCTTTCAAAGTCTTATTTCTATGAAGAATTGCGCCCTTTCACACCCATGATCGTTATTTTCTACCTTTTGTTTATTTCTTTATCCAAACCTCCCATAAAACTAACATAATAAAAAAGAAGCTGCTTTTTCGACCCCTGTACATATCTGTAACGCTCTGCCCACTGATCTAAAAACCTAAAATTAGGAGTGACTTCTTGATGTGAGCTGCTAAATGTGAAGGCCAAAGTGATCCTGAAGTGGGATGAGCAGAATAAGTGGCCTCAGCAGCATCACATCCTGAATGCATTCAGGCGGAGCTACTATCTCAGACACACAGCCCACAGATGCATTTGGGTTTCCACCAACATTCAGGATAATTCCTGCAAAAACCTGAAGTCAATAAAGATGGAGGGAACTCCATAATGGAGGGGCTGCAGCTTCTGCATTTAATAAGGCTTTAGTGTTTTGAGTAGCTACATCAGCATAACACTCCTTTTCCTTACTTGGCTTCGCTGCCTCGGTCAGAGATCAGCTAAACACCTTTTCTCTGATAAGAAGAACACCAGATTATTGGAGAGTTTCATTTAGCTTAAAAAGGTTTACATGCTGCTAAAAATTGCTGTTCTCCCACTCTGCAGAATCTGTTAGTTCAATCTCTAACATTCTGCTCTCTCCTTTTTTCTCATAGTAGCTTTGCCTCGTCTGGTCCTGTTTGGCTGTGACTCCATCCTGGAGAGAAATATCAGCTGTGCTGCTGCCATCAACACCTTTGTTTGTAGATGATGGAGATCGGCCTGTTTTTCAGTGTAGTCCTGTTTTTCTGTCTGACTGGCTGGATGTGGACATGTGAGCTGACTTGGAGCTCGTCTGCTTCGCTGTCCGTTTCCTGGACGGGGCCGCCAGTGGAGCTGGTTTACAGTTGCCTTTTTTATCTCGGTTTCTTTTTCTATGTCTGCTTCTGTCTCCTTGAACCCCGGTCGGCCTCAGCAGATGGCCACTCACACTGAGCCTGGTTCTGCTGGAGGTTTCATCCTGTTGAAAGGGAGTTTTTCCTCTCCACCGTTGCTACACGGATGCTCAGTGTGAGGGATTGCTGAAGAGTCACTGTAATCAACTGGTTTTTCTTAAATAGAAAACTTTTAATCTGTAATTTGACTGTATGATCTGGTGAACTGCAAAGTGCCTGAGATGACATGTTGTTAATTGGTGCTATAGAAATAAACTGAACTGAATTGAAATAAAAAAAAAGACGGGGATGAAATTAAGAATCTGCTGCCAAACAATCTGCTTTCCTAAAACCTGTCATAAGTTAGATAACAGAAGAAATTCGTATGACTTTGGCTCCAATTAACTACAACTGAACATCAATACAATAAAGTCATGTCAATCTGCTCAGTTAAAGTTATGATGAATAATAAAGGTCAGCCAATCAACAGCCACTAACTTCACATGGAGCTCAGTTATTATGAGAATAAAGTCATTTTTCAGTTTGTTTTGGTTTTCTTTGTAAATCATGATTAACCAGCAAAACTTCCTCCAAGCAGCAAGAAGCAAGTGAACAGATGAATTCTTTAGTTTTAGTCTCATCTGCACCTTCAGCTTTTTTTTTTTTGAAGGGTTTAAGGCTTTAAGGGTTAAGGTTGGTGATTAGCGTCCCTTTTAGCATCCAGGTCCCTCTTTGGACCCATATCTTCTGCACCGCGTGGCTACGCTGACAGGAATAACGACTCCTATTGGTAGGAGGTTATAAATATAAACATCTGTAGATGTCTTATGATTTGGGCTACAAATATCATCACCATCAGCAGACTGGGAACTCTTGGAAAAAGAAATGACCGTCAGCCTTGGATGACACATCTATGCGTCGTCCACTGTAGGAGTAGAACATCCTGCAACCCTCAGCCAGGATGAGCTATTACAGCAGAGAGGAAGCAAAAACTCGCGTGCCGGTTCCTTTTTGACCCTTGTACAAGTTTAATTCTGATGCGCGGCTGAAGCATCTTTGCTGCTCTAGCTGTATGGTGGAAAAGCGGGTCTGATGCATGTTGGACGGAGCTACCCTATCCTTTCTTTGCCTGGAAGAATGGCAGCTATACTTGCTGTGATCTGTGGGTAAAAACTGGTTTTAATATGTTTTTAGGTGAGAATCCAACTGAAAACTTCATCTGTGGAGTCAGTTCATCCAGATTATGTCCCTGCCTCTGGACTTGACTTGAGTTTTCCTCTCAACCGTCGCTACAAGCATGCTTAGTGTGAGGGATTGCTGAGGAGTAAATTAGTTGATGCAATCAGCTGGTTTTGCTTAGATAGAAAACTTGTATGATCTAGTTGAATTGTCTCTAAAGTGCCTCGAGGTGACGTGCTGTGAATTGGCGCTATATAAATAAACTCAGGTGAATTGAATTAAAATCCTACACAACAAAATCAGTAATAATAAAAGCCGGTATGATTCGTGCTGAACCCATATCGGGTCAATAATGGTATCGGCCGCCTTTCAATGCTGCAATATGTCATCGTAGATGAAAGATTTGTATCGGGACCCCTAGATTTATAGAACAGCAGACAGAGAAAGGAACCTTTGCTCTTTGTAAAAATATAAATATTTTACAAAGTTTGAAGAAATACAGCATTAGCAATATGAAACTGATAATAAATCTATATGCTCCAGCCTCTGATAAGGTTTTACACGAAACAGAATCATGTTTCTTTTCCTTATTTTTGGTCAAATCTGAGGATCCGCTCAGCAGGGTGATGTGGGACCAACAGCTTAGCGGCCGCCTGACCACCAGCAGGTGTCTGACCCCGAGTGCGCCAGTGACGCAGTGTCTGACTAAGAGGTGCATCCTCACATGTGAGCAGGACAGCAGCTCCTTCATGATGTAGACGTCATAAATCTGCCGGCTGCGGCTCAGGCGCTCCTGCTCCGAGTCCAGCTTCTCGTACTCCTTGATCTGAAACAGAAACGGGACTCGGTCTCACGGGGACTTCCTGGGACGGCTGAATTAGACTGAGCTGGATTAGAGGGCTCGGTGCCAGGCACACACCGCCGCCTCCCACTTACTTCTTCGTAGAACTTGAGCTGAGGCACAGCCTCGTCGATCTCGTTCATACAGAAGTCCTTAAACAGCAGGAAGCCTGAGAGAAACAAAAACAAACAGGTGAGGAGCAGGAAGGTGGACAGTTACAACTACAACTGATTAAATTCTTCTCCTTTCTCAGCAGCCTAATCTCTGCATCCTATCGCCTCCATTCAGATCCAACTAAATTATATTACCCGCAAAGAACAACAACAACAACAGTTCTATTCAAACAATCTGCTAAAGATATAACAAAGGTTTAGAAAACAGGTGTTTAGATCATGAGTCTGCAACCATCATATCCAAAGAGCCATTTAGATTCCAGATAAGAAAAAGTCCTTTTAAGCCGAAAAATATTGCATGACTTTAAAAAAACTTTTTCTTTTTTACTCAAGATATTTTTTATTGAGTTTTACATAAACAAAAAAACAGAGCACAGTTATAAGGTGTTGCAAGGTAGGCTTATAGAAGCCAGTTGAACAAGTTGCTCATACAAAAGTTTGTTCAAGTAAAAGAAATATAGACTTAGTAGCATGACAACTACAATAAAACAAGTCAAGTAGTGAAGCACAAAGATATAATACAATAGAACAAACAAAATAACCCCTTCCCCATCACCCAATCCGTCACTGCCACAACATTCAGGACCCGCCTAAGGTAGAATCAGTGCAGTTGAGCATGTCTGAGCAATTAAAGAGCTGGAAATGCTTTCAAGAAATGGCCCCACAAACTTTCAAATGTATCAAGAGACTGTTTAAGTGAGTACCTGATCTTTTCGAGTTTTAGACAAGACATAATATCTTGCAGCCACTGTGAATGAGATGGTGGGGAGGCATCTTTCCATCGGAGTAAGATTGCACGACGTGCCAAAAGTAAAGCAAAGGCTATAAAATATTTTCTAGTAGCACTTGAAACAGATCCACCCTCAAGGACCCCCCCTTTTTTTTTTTGCAATAATATTTGTCTGTGTTCATCATTTCAAAGTTCATTTAAAAAAAAGAAGCTCTAGAAACAAATTTTTGGTTCTTTTGATGTCACTCTGTTGTTAAAATTCTATTAAAATATTCTTTATAAAAAATCACTAATCTCATACTGGTGTTTGTTATTATACTACAGCCGTTGTAACGACCCCCCCTTTCAGAGACATAGACAGGTTTCGCATATTGCAGACTAAAAGAAACAAAATGACCTCCATTCCAAAGGGGTTGGTTCAACTTGCATGTTTCTGAGCAAAAACGAGGCTTTGTTTTGGTCCATAAAGACTCAAACGCTATTTCTGACATTTTGAATTGCAAAAGTTTCCTGGATGTGAAGCGAAGCGTCTTCAAACTTGGAAACAAAGTCCAGTGGATTTTTGGCTATCTGACCAAGCTAAAAGATGCTAACCTGTTAGCTACCTAGCACAGCTAGCCACAGAGCCACCCAGTTCTCTATTACGTTCATCATGAACATATTTTTTAGCTTGGTTATTGATCAGGTAAAACTTTATCGGTCTTTAGAGACGCTAACATTACAGATGCTCCCGACTCGGCACACGGACGCTGCATTGTTATCGTTGTCTGGACAACCACAATGTTTTACGTCATGTGGCAACGTTCAGCCACTCCTGTAGCGTAACGTCACCAGCATGCGCAGGACCAGAGCATATCTGGTACCTACAGCGGCCTTAAACTGCTGCAGAGGAGCTCAGCCACCTGGTTCACTTCAAACTTGGAAAAAAAACAAAGTCTACTGGTTTGTTTCTTTTTTGGATCTGGATGAATGAAAATCTTTACCAACTTTTATTTTTCTGTGCTTCTTTCTCCCTCTATCAGCTAAGCAGGCTATCATTAGCTTAGCCACCCGCCTTGAGGCAAAAAAAAAAAAAAAAAAGACTTTAATCAATATTAGGAATGGATGTCATTGATTAATTCAATGAACCCTTACAGTCCTAGAAACACATGTTTTAGGTTAAAAACTACTTAAAGTTAAGAAAAGCAGATGGAGGGACGGACAGATGCAAGACTTCACGGATACAACATTCAGACAGGAAGTCTGGAAATCCAATCATATTTATGCTGTTGATTATTTCCTCCATTAGCGCATGTGTGAAAGATGCAGACAGAGGAGAAACCAAGGAAGGAGGCGACCTGTTTCTGTGACATGTTTAGTGTCACTACAAACAAATGATGCATTCAGAGCTATTCCAGAACAATTATCCTTCAGTATAATCCAATCAGACCTATTATGGTCTGTATCGTTTCCGTTTTATTTGGCCTTTTCGTGCCACAATTGAGAGACTATTTAAAAACATTATGATTAGTTTCTTTAAACCCCCAGTTTTGAAATGTAGTTAAACTTCTAGTTCATCTAGTTTCATCCCGTTTGGATGGGGCCTAGGCTGCTCATTGTGGTTAAATGTTGTTAAAAGCAGCAATTGGTTTTAAAAATGAAAATAAGTAAATTAAATCTGAAATCAGCTTTGAAAAATACCATAGTCAGAAAAAGGTTTTGAAAATAACTCTCCTGTTTTCTTAAATGTAACTTTTACTGTAGTAGCCATTCTAAATTTGGGCCCTTGGCTGAGAAGCATCATCTCTTGGTCAGACCCTGTAATTCAGTGAACGGGTTGAGTCACGGTAAAAAAAAAAATGTGCACGCCCATAAGAAGGCCAGTGGCTGGAAGTTGGGGGGGATTTTGCTGCCAAAATGATGCATTTGTTGGTACTCTGGAAGCGCGTGCAGTAAAGTGTGTCCAGGTGCATCTGATGCTCCTGTGTTCAATGCCACAGAGCAGCGTTGCTATATTTGCTGTGATCAGAAGGTAAAAAGTATTTTTTAGGGATGCACGATATAGTCGGCCCCCCTATCGGTATCGGCCTGTATCGGCCTTAAAACTGAATATCGGATATCGGCC